CCCCCCCCCCCCTCTCCTCCTCTGCTTCTAAGCCCTAATTCCGAGAGATATCTCAGCTCGCTTCCAATTACTAGCCGTATTTCCCTCTGCTTTATCGCAACTTTCGAGACTTAGCCCGCAATTCCGACCTTCTGCTCCCGTCCACTTCTACTCCCACTTTGCCATCCGTCAGGCCACAACCACATTCAGCACAACTGCTTCCTAACTTGTCCAGACGGAGCCGAGTTTTAGCAGTTACGTTTGGGTAATATGTTGTCGTGGAGTAAAGCAACAGATCGGGGCTTGGAAACGAGAAGAGGACGGTTTGCGGTGCGCAGGAAGAGTTTAGGGACGGAATGGGGAGTGCGAGGCCGAAGCAGGGAGAGAAAGAGTTTGGGTTTCTACGTAAGCAAAGGGGGATTAGAGGTGAAAGTTCAGTTCTCCATGCGACACGAGCATTTTTTATGTCGTAGGCATGTTCTGGTGAAAACTAAGTTCATCCAGAAACTTACTGGCAGTCTCCCAAAGTCAAGTCGCATGGAATTTTTGTAGGCCCAGGAACACCTACTTTAAAGTTTGGTCATTGAAAAGTGTTACTCAGCAGGTTTTGTTCAAAAGAGTTTACAACACGTAAAACATAAAGCGGCGTGTATCAAGGTAGCTGGTGCGATCATGCTTTTTGCTTGCGCAATTCTGCCAGTGCTTGTGCAATTCTGTCCAACTGACGCTTGTGCAACTCTATTCAGGGGAATCTTGCTTTAAAAGTGTGCACTGCATTATTGTTTGATGCATACAGCAAATTTTTACAGTTCCCGACATAGTTTTGGCGCCAAAATTTTCACGCAGCCGTACGTGAAACCTAGATGTACACGAACGCTGAATTTGAGTTTGCAAAATCATACGTGGATAGGAGTCTCTCCTTAAAATTTCTGTGTCTTGGCTTCTCCAATTCCCGAGTTGAAACCCCCGGATAAAATGCACTGGAAACACACACACACACACACACACACACACACACACACACACACACACACACACACACACACACACACATACATACATACACACACATACACACACATACATACACACACAGGACAATATGCGTTCTACAACTGCTACAGCACGAAATGCATAACAGAGTAAAATTCTGAAATATGACCAGATATCGGAGAAAATAATGATGATTCCTGGATCTGGCAAAGACACCGCGCCAGTTTTACTCGGCAAAACATTTACACTTTGCTCACAGCTTTGAGTAAACACTTTGCTGGTGTCATAGAAATGAAGCTGGAAAATCCTCTGTCGACTATATTTTGCATTTATAAAAAGTCGCTTTGCAGAAGTTTCCTGAGTCCCGATTCTGAGCGGCCAGTAGCTGAGGAGCGCAGACGTTGTTCACCTGGACACCAGCTAACTGTGCGGGCCAAGAAAGAGTCATGTTCGTCGGCTGCTGGATCATCCAATTCTTCAACCAACGCCAAAGATGAATTGAAACGACCCGCTTGGAAATTCTGAAATTTGTTCATGTTTTCTCAATTCAGCAAAACTGTCATATCAATTTGCATTACGATCCATTTTGAAGCACCAATTGTTTCCA